TGCGTACCTTACGCATAGCCGAAATTAGAAAATTGCAACCAGAAAACTATTTGATTTGTATTCATGATATTTATAATGATGAGGAATTTGATTTAAATCATATCAAAGACGGAGTACATCGAGATTAAATACTACATTTAGTAAGGAATTATAAGGCGAATAAAATAAAAACATCTGCCCTGAAGATAACGATAGTGTTGACAGATCAACTTCCAGTTCATTGCGCGCCGCGACGTCCCCCCCCTCCCCGCGCAGAGCAGTGTGAAATTGATAAACAGATTTCGGAACGGTTAGATAAACAAAGGATATACCTTTATCCATTTTTTGTAGCAATTCGTTTTTTGTTTGACGGACATCAAATCATACTTTCGTTTTCTAGATCCTTTGGGAGCTCCAGCATCGGAAATTCTATTTGACATAATCGAAAGTTCAAGCTTACTTTATAAAATTGCTCTTACAGTCTGCAAAAAATAATAAGCCGGATCCAATTCGAAGATTAAGGAACAATGCAATCATCAACATTAACTGAAATAGATAATTAGATAATTTTAGCTTATACCGTCCGTTATACATTAAACAGCACGCGAAAACCTATTCTGCGCTTGCGCAGTCAAAAATGTCTTGCGCGCACGCGTAAAACGCCTATGAGCATGCGTTAACGCGGCGCATGCGCAGAAAGATTTTAGCTTTGATCTCCGGATTATGGGTGTCCGAATTAACGACTTTTGACTGTAATTAAGACTTGCCTCTATCAGCTTAAAATTTACATACATACTATTTCAAACATGAATACTTATTTTATATTTAAGCCACTGTAATATGGGCGATACAACATAGTTTTTCTAGGAATAAAACTGCCACATCTAGTATTTCTACTGCACACAAAGAAAGTGTAGCTCTTTCAATTTCATGTTTTCTTTTTATATTTTTAATTTCCATTTGTGATTACGTTAAGAAAATTTTCCTCATTCTACTATATATACAAATATATATATATATATATATTGTTGCATTTTTCTTTTCTGACACCAGTTGTTACGTTATTTTCTTCCTGATATCAGTTGTTACGTTATTTTCTTCCTTCACGTTCGTACGGGGTTTGTAAATTTGGAGTGAATAATGATGACACTTGATGAAGTATCAAAACACACTTTATTTAGGCAATATTAATCAGGACAGCTCCAAAGTCACGTTTTACAGTCGTCGGAGATCTATCATATACATTCGCTGAAACAATCAGCGATACAGCCTTCACGTTATCAGGCTATAACGGTGGAGACGGCTTCACTGCAAAGCACTAGAGTACAGCTCTCGACTCTGCTCGGTCGTTCTCGGAACTCCACATACTCTCGAGACTCTCCACGCTACAACTCGCGATGCACTTGACGGCACACAGAGCACAGCTCCTGGCTTTTCGGTTCAGTTGTTCCTGGAGCTCAACACGCTCTCTCGACGATGCACTAACCGCGATACACTACGAGACTCTTTCGGTGCACTCGACACTCGCTGCCCGGCTGTCAACTTGATTGAATCTCCAGGGATTGACTCGCTAGATGAGACACCAATTCGATACTGACTCTCTCGCACTCTATGGGAGGCACACACACACTGACTGACTGACTGCGGACCAGCAGGGTTTATACAGCTTTCGGCTTGTGCTCAAGAACATTCTGGACTAAACCAGTAAGAATTCGTTCCAGAAAGTTCTCCATCTGTGCATGGCATATCGCCAATTTTGTCGCCAAATGTGGCAACCCTACCTTCCCTTGCCATTTTATGGCAACCCTAAAACTGCTTTGCGGGGTATATACATACATACACACATACATATATATATATATATATACTGTTATGCGCTCATGTAATGTTCTCACTTTTTTACTAAAATTACATCACTAAAATGCACATGCGGACATTACACGCGGCGCTTTTTCTCGTGAGTAATTTTGGGTATAAATTTCATTTCAAACAAGGCAAGTTGCTAACTACCACGAATTCCAAATGATACTATAAATGAAAAAAGAAAGCTTGAAATATGGGAATGCTCCATGGAGGAAGGAGGGGAAAGTAATTTCACTACAAAACAGTATTTCCTAGAAGCCAGTGTGGTAAAAACCTGTTTGGACTGCCTTCATTTACTATCGCGTCTGCCGAGTGGATTGCTGGTGCCGATGTTATGACTGAATAACAGCAGCTGCACCAGAATGCAAAGAAAGTCTCTGCTTTCCATCCTGGGGCCAACCAAAGACAAAAGAAATGCATGTTTGTCTTTTAAAGATGTTTACTGACTAAAGGGAAAAAGGGCCTATGTTAAAAAAATATATACTTTAAAGCAAGAAATTCTTTAGTTTTGGAGTTGCAGACATTGTGCCAGTCACTTTTTTTTTTTTTTTTTACATAAATTTTATCAGTAAAGTTGGAGTGGGGAAATTACACAAGCATATATGTATACTAAACTTGCAATCTTATTAAATTCTTATTTTTAAGTACTAATGCCCTTAAAAATTCATATTAAAGGTATTTTAATTAATTTGTTTATTAATATTATATAAATTCACATTACCATATTATAAAATAAATTTAATTAATTATATTTAAAGAATTTAAATCTTGTAACAAATAAATAGAAATATAACCCAACACTTTTAGAAAAAATAATTTAGTCTCTGGCTTACAAATGAGATATCTTCTTGACAGCATTCATAATATGGATTCACATGTAATTTAGATTCCTGAACAGCACATTTACAGATAATAATTTAAATAGTGGTAATAATCCTATAATGGCTCGTATGCAATAACAATAGTAATACAAACATTATGCTGTAATAATAAAAGTAACGACAATAATACCACTTTTGGCTAATATTAAGTTTACTGATAACTAATCTTCTTTTTCTTGTTTATTTTTAAATTCAAACAGAGGGGGAAAACAATTCATACAAAATGTTTAGATAGGACATAAAAGAAACTTTAAAAATGAAGTAGGCAAAAGTTAAAATTAACCCAGTGCTGCATTAATGTCTTGCTAACTGAAAGGAAAAAAAGTAATTGGAAGATGATGATTAGGTGTTAAGAGAATTATAATTTGATTTAGTTACTAAGATGCACTCTTGAAAAGACTTTTTAATTCATTCAGCGAATTTAACTAATTTATTCTTTTAATATTAAAGAACAATATAAAAAATACCAACTAGAATGGCATATGGATAATATACATTGTCTGCCAATACGTATTTAGACACCCATGCAAATGCTGATATCTGTGTTCCTGATACACATCATGCCTTCCACCATTAAATATCATGTAGGAAACAACATTGGCATTAGTGGCATGCAAGATGTTATGAAGCGCAGAGTCATCTGGTTTGGAGAAAAGTATAGTCGTAAAGTATCACAAAAATTGTCGATCCTTAAGGGCATATCTAGTCAGCTGAATTACATGAATTCCACAGTGGCCTACGAGATTCAAAACTGGAAGGTGAGCAGTGATTATTGGAATGAGCTTTGAGTCGGCACACTCATGAAACTGGAAGATAGGAATCGACAGGTACTGTCCAGAGAAATTTGGACAAACCCAACCGATGGCCCACGTATTTCAGGAGTTTCAGCAGCAACCAAGCGTGTTATTTCAATTAATACCACCCATAAGAAATCATACCTGCTTGGTTTTCACGGTCGTACACTGTTTCCCATAAGCCTTTGACCACAAAGTCCAACTGCACTGCTTGGTTAATGAGGCACAAAGCATGGGGACAGTGGACTGGTGAAAAAGAGTTCTCTGGAGCAACAAATCAAGGTTTGTCCTCTACCATTCGGATGGCAGAGTTTGGGTTTGGCATCTGCCTGGAGAATGCCTCCTGCCAGAATGCACTGTGCCTGCAGTAAAGCTTGGCGGAGGTGGAGTTATGATTGGGGGGGGGTATTTCTCCTGGTATGACTGAACAATTGGTCCAAATTCATGGCAACTCAATACCAATGCCTACTGCACTACTCTGGATGACAGTGTGCTTCCTACAATTTTATGGGCTGCATCCACGTTATTTTCAGGACAATAGTGCCAGCTGTCATGTTCCAAGGTCCCCCATGGATTTGTATGGTGACAATGGAGTTAACCAAATGGACTAACCAGTCATTAAGTCCAGACCTGATTTCTATCAAAAACCTCTAGGCTGAGTTGGATCACCGAATTAAAAGGTACAACAATTGTTCAATATTGGTGAACTAACTTACACGTCTTCTCCAAGCCAAGCGGAAGAAAATTCCAATCGTCATCAAATAAGGACTTGTGAAAAGCACGCCCCGAAGGTCCACAGGTGTCCAAATACTTATTGGCAGATAGTGTATTTTCACCTTTCAACAAAAAACTCTTGAAGAAACTCTTTAAGGCAGATAGTGTATTTTCACCTTTCAACAAAAAACTCTTGAAGAAAAAAAAAAAAAAAAAGACAGGTAATTGTAAAGTGATAAATAAATAACTTTAGAGATTGAATGCTAAAATGAATAAGAAAGCAATAAATATTATCAGTTTTCAAAACAATTCTTAGTGCAAAATAAATGAAAAAGAGTAAACTAGTTCCTTCAGCTTTGCTAGTCATCTTAGTTTCAGAATTAAATTTTTTTTTTTTTTTTTGCTTTGGAAAGCCCACTTATCAATCGGATCACTTGTAAACCAAGAACTATCATATTTGTACTTATCAAGTAGAAATGGCTACAAAATATACAGTTCCAATATAATGTTTTAAAAAAATACAAAATTTATATTACTATAAAAAATGAACATGTGGATACTTTTCAGATCTATTAACAACACAAACCTAAATAAAAGGAGGGGAGTTTATCTTTTGCAAAAGCCAATCAAAACATTATTTTATTTTTCCCACTAACTGATCCTTCTTTTCACTTAGGATGATATGCTGATGGAGTTTACTTTATGTCAATTAAAAATGAAAATTATTTTAAGTCACACAAATGAATATAATGTAAATTATGAAACTTACTTTAGTTTGCACCATAGCTATCCTTTGTTTCCTCATGTCAGCTATAACATTATAAAGGTTGAAATTCTTTGACAACTTCTAAAAAACAAAGAAATGACAAAAATAAAAATATTGATTTTTTAACAATTTTTTTAATCCAATTTTTTTAGAATTTCTGAATGCAAAATCTCATTTTGTGCAGAATATTTCTTGTTTCTTAGAAAAATTAATATTCCTTTCAAAATAAGAATGAGTTTTGGATTGTAATTTTCTCCTCTAATTATGAAAATTCATGTGACATCACAATAAAAGCAAGTTACAGTTAGCAATGATATTTTGGAGGTTTTTAAGATTTAACTGTTTCATGCAACTGCTTTCAATGCTTAATTCTGAGACACCAATTCACTTGCAAATTTGTACATTCTAAATCATGAAAATACTATTTTCTCCTTGTGGCTTCCTTCTAATTGCAATAATATTACACACTATACTTTTGCATCACCTCTAATACGATTTTCAACATAGGAACTAAAAAATACAAGATTCTTGATATATCTTTCTTGTTATAATGATGAAATATCTTTATTGTTCACTGCACAATGTACAGACAGATAGGCTTAGAGCTACGAAATGGATTGTCAGGATAATAAAGATCTGAATCTCAAAGAACTTTTTGAAAATTTGAATCAGATTTTTAAACATTTTTTAAATTTTAAGTTGAACAAATGTTTGCCTATATTTTCACTTATGAACTAAATTAAAAATCTCAGAATTTTAGTGTTTGCACCATCACATAATGCAGAAAATGACTTTTTATATGAAGTTTATATCAATTTTTTAACATAATTTACTTATTTTTTTGTAGGGGAAGGGTCACTGAACATCTCTGATCCAACAGTTAAAACTGTAGCTGTCATAAAGTCTTGATATTTTTTCCAGATTATAAAATATACACTTTGTCCTTCTTTAAAACAAGAAAAAAATGGTATATCATTTAGATAATTTTCTAGATTTTTTTTTAAATATGCTGCTGCGTTTATTTACTTCTTCTTTTTCTCCCTTTCTGGAAAGAATTATTTGCAAAGAAAATAAGTTTACTACAGAAATCTTCTGCCATTTAAAAAATGTTAGTCTTCCCCTTTAAAAAAAAAATATTTAACATTTGTTTTATTTTATTCATTTAATTTTTCCTTTTGGATTTATTGAATAAAACAAAAGATTTTAAGTACTGACGAGCATTTAAAATTAACTGAAATGAAATCAGCCATGTTCTGTATAAGGTTAATTTTCTTAATTCTAATTGTAATTAAGATTGTAACATCCTGTCCTGTTAAACAGAGTGGGTATATACATATATTTATATACGTTTGGTACAGCCAATTGCAACCAAAAAGGGAGGTTCACAACTACATGTTATAGCAGTCCTATATACAAAATTTCAACGTTCTGAGGCTGCTCATTTTTGAGTTATGTGAGATACATACATACGTATGTATAGAAGCCCAAAAAATTCCTTTTGAATCCATTTTAAATCAATTTTGTAATTCGCTAGGAGAAAAAGAGTACTTTATTCTGCCCTTACGCACAGATGTCATTCAAAAACATCATTAAATTGCATTTGATAGTGGTCAAAATGGATATTTCCATTGAAATACAGTACCCGGAATTTTCTGTGATTACAATACTTCCTTTTCTTCATACGAGGAAGTAAAAATAACAATGGTATAATCAATTAGATAAATTATATCCCTGATACACTATGACAAATGGAATCTTCGATAAATAAAGTGTGGAAGAAAAGATTTTATAAACACACAAAATTTGTTAAGAGTATCTCATGTGTTTAATGATTTAAAACGACAAACAATAACAAGTTTATTACATACTGTTTACTGCCTAGATCTGATAAACATAGAACTGCAATTACAGCTTATTACAACATTTGTGAAGTATTTGGAAAGCATGCAATTGATAACAACAATGCTAAACCAATTATTTTTTGACACTGAAAATTCCAAGCTGGAGATAAAAGGTATGAAGATCAACAACATGCTAGAAGTTCATCAGTGATTTCTGAATGGGTCCTATAGGTACAGCAAATGGATCACATCCAACAGCCCATGAATTCATGATACACAGATTAGTAGTTAAAAACAAGTAAAAGAGTTAGAATTCATCACGAATTCAATCATCAGCAAGAGAAGTAAACAAATCTTTGTTAACTAATTATACTTAGAAGCCTAAATTACAATTCAGACCCCTTGGTTCCCCGAAAATGATCCATAAGGCTTCTTTAGTTAGTTAGCTTTCTTGAAGTTTTTCACATTTACAAAAATTTATCTTCTTAATTAATGACATTAAAATCAAACCAATCTTTTTAAAATGTTTTTAGAATTCCACTATCTTGAATGTTCATGTTTCATTCCTATTCTCTTTGACAGATGGCGCTACATTCATATTTACTTCATTGCTTTCGATATAAAGATGGTGATCACTTATCTAACTTTGCAAAGTTTTTTTGCTCTTAAAGAACAAGGACCCATATCCGCTCACCCTCAAAATCGACAGAATTTTAATCTATATTAGTCTAAGTTTGTCGTTTTTAATAACTTTAAATTTTACACTGGTATGCTTTTCTTCCGATTTTATGAAGCAATATTATGTTTCTGTACGAAAATTAGGTGCTAAATAATTATCAAACACATGAGTAAGATGCAGCTAAAAAGAATACAATGAAAATAAAATTTAAGTTATGTGATCGTTTTCTGCAATATTCAGGAAAAAAAAAAATTTTTTTTTCTTATAAAAAGAAATTTTAAAGAAAGTTATATGTTCAGATGTTTTGGAGGATCAGTCCACCCCCCAAAAATAAATATAAACAAAAGAAAAAAATACAAAATGCAAGTGATGCCAAAATTAAAAAAGGAAAAAATATTTCAAGCAATAAAAGCTTGGTTTATTGAGAAAAATTAACGCTTAACTGGAATTCTATGTTTCAATATTCAGTCTGACTAATTGAAAATTTTAATTAGCTGATATATAGCAAGAAAAACACGTGAATTAAAAATTATGCAAAATTAAAATTTGGATGACATTTTTATAGAAAAACTGTTATAATGCCTGATGAGAAAGATGTTAGAAAGACTGATATATTCTTCTTTTCCAAGATGTAAAACTTTTGAGCTGTTTGCTAGAATAGTTAATAAATTCTAAGATGTTTATTAAAGAAATACTGTTTATATGTGATAGACATAAAATAATCCATTCTTATAGCAAATTAAAAACTTCAAACAGTTATTACTTGAAATAGGCTAAACAACACTACAAACTGCAGTTTCTTTTGAGGAAGCCTTAATCAGATTTGTTTGATAAAAAAATGGCATAATCTGGTTTCTTAATGTCTTATTACATCACTTTGAAGATGTACAAACTAAATTTAAGAAAAAAAAAAAAAAAAAAAAAAAAAAAAAGACTATTTAAATAGTACACAAAAATGAAGCATTCAGTGATTCATTTTAACAATTTGGCTTTTCCTTAAAAAATTTCATTTTAAGAACATTTATTCACAATATATGCATAGTAATCATTAGATTCTGTTTACATTACTTCTTACATCTAATTTCTAAGCAACATAAATTCATAAGCATAAAAAGATTAATATCACTTACTCCCATTCTCATTAAGCCCCATACATAATCAATAGCACAGATAGTTCCAGTGCGACCACACCCAGCACTAAAAAAAAAAAAAAAAAAAAAAAAAAAAAAATTTTAAAGAATTAATTAATTACATTTTGGCATAATTTGATTGCAAATCTAATTAATTGCAGATATTTTTAAATTAACAAATTATATACCTGCAATGTACTAGAACAGGTACGGCTTCAGAAGCTTGACAATCTCGAATGAGGCGAACTAATTCCAAAATAGGTTGAACTGAATTTGGCACTCCATGATCAGGCCATGTTGTGTAATGAAATTGGCATATCACTCTTTCCTCATTCTCCCAGCATGCTTTGAGGGTACGAACTAAAAAATCTGGGCAAACCTGCCGCCATTTCACCTACAGCATAACAATTTTATATTAATGTGCAGTTAAGAATATTTTAATAGCATACTAAAATAAAAAGCAAACACAATAAAAAATGAGAAGTGAGGAGAGGGGAAACTGATGAATTGGAAATCTTTTGCAGTGACACAGCTTAATTTCTCTCAACTTTTTTTTTTTTTTTTTTAGAAGGAGGGGGATCTATTTGATGAGTTCTATACATTCATCAAAATGTCAATATTGGCTCATACAAAAACAATGAAGCATTTTTCATCAGAAAGAGTTTTTTTTTCAGTAATACCTTAAATGTTTACACAGAAATTTTGAAAATATCAAGCTTAACTACACACAATGAGCTGCAACTCACAAATAATACACAAATATTTGTTTACTCCTTTCTTTGCAATTAATTTCAAGTGCACATTAAGCTACTAACCTAAGAAAAATGCCACATTGACCTTTTACTCTAAGCATCATTAATAATTTTGAAATCCAATATTATTTTGGCATTTTTCTTTTTACCCCCCCTTTTTTTTTAATCTCTAAAAGGTCACTCATTGGAATTATACTGTGAAAATCAAAATAATTTCCAATTTCTTCAAAGTTCTTTCATAGATTGGGTAGTAAGGAAAGTTTTGATGATATTAAGTTAAAAATATATATAGAATAGTACATAGTATCCACTATTTAACATCACTTCCCTTCCAGACACATCTGAGTTTATTTAAAGGCTGAGTTAAATAGATGGTGATATGTGCAATGGAAACTTGATATCAGTTGGAAACTTATCTAGAAAAATAAAAATGAATGGAGAGTTTGATAATTAATACCTAAAATAATAATTTAATATAAATAAACTTTTTACACAAATTAGAATTTTTTTAAATTTTTTAATCTAGAATACACATAAATAATAAATAAGAAAACAAAATTAAATTTTATCTAAACAGATAGCATAAAATTACAAATATCATTCAATAATACAGAAAAATGTTCAGTTTTTTAATGTAACCAACGCCACATAAATTCTATCAAATACGACTATAAATGGTGTCGAGCAGTGCCCCGCTGACATTTATTTCTCCATTTAGCACAACCCCTCAGTTTGTATATGGCATTCATTTTCAGGGTCCATAAAATTATAACTGTGATTCACAGTGAAATTTTCATATCCAGCATTTCTTAATTCTCCTTTTTTACATACTTTCCAGCAGTCTGAAAATATAATGCTGCCATCTGCATTGCTTTCCTGGCATAAACCCTGAATATCCATTGTTCTGGAAGAACACATCCAACTTTGTTTTTTCTCTTTGTAAAAAGACTTTACAGTAGCTATTCCAATCTATTGTCGTATTACGGCTGATTTCTAACCGAAGTTAACAAAATTTAATCGACGTCAATTCTTGATACCATAAACAGATAAAACAAGCGACATTGAGGAAAGAGACGCGAGTCTTCAAACCATGTTTTGGTTCTCAACCCTCTTTCTTTTTCATAGCAAGAATGTACATGTACGCAACAACACCATATAGGAGCTCTGAGTTAAATGGATGATTTTGAGAACAAAGTCTATAGCTATGAATTATTCCTTTGTCCTGAAAGAATCTTAAGACAGCCTCTTGATCATTAAGTAATTGCCAAATTGTATAATCTGTCGTATTAAAAAACATGCCTATATATGGGAAAAAATAATGAGTGCGATGATATTTCAAATGAGAGCTAGAAATCTCAAGTCAAAATATTTCAAATGTTAAATTCTTGAGCCACGATATTTGTGTTGTAGCATCATTGCTTTCTTTTCATTTTTTCTTCATTTTCAAATGAAGCCACTCTAATGGAATAGTACCCAGCTAATTTTATAAACTAAAGAATAAAATAAGCAGCAGATACAGTACTATTACGCACTTTTAGGAAATATATGTTTATATTATGCAATTGTAGATGTCAAAAATGTACAGTTAAAAAAAACTTACAAATTCAACATTGATATTTCCATATTGCTTTTTTTCTTCATCAGTGGGCCAATAGCATTCACATTTATACTGAAATTTTAAGAATAAAACTGGTAATTAGTATATTTAAGGGAAAATTTTATAAATAAAAATGTTCAAGCATCTATCAATACATTATTAATTTATTAAATATAAAGGGAGATGTTAAAAGCACATACTGTGGCAAAAAATAAATGAATTTTGCATTTTTTCCCTCCTCTGAAGGGAAAAACTGAAGCATAATTTACTTATTAAAAAGATGTTACTTCATGAAACCAGGAAACAGCAGACTGAGGACTTTTTTTAAATTCAATAATTATTTAAAAAAAAAAAAAAAAAAAAAGAATCCTAGTTCTTGGAAATCATGTCCTGAAACTTAAAGTAATAAAATTTTCACTGACAGTAAAATGATATGTTTTGAGACAATGCTTACTTTTCCAGATTCCTGTTCATTACATGCCATTACAATAACTTGGATTTCACATTCCCAAATCATTCTCCAAAAGTCTACAACTGTATTTGGCAGGGGTCCTTGAGATGCAATGTATGCCAAAGACCCACTTGCACCCTGAAATTAATTTTAATTATAAAAAAATATACAAATAAAAAAGATCTGAAAGCTTTCAGATTTTATATTATGCCCGAACGGATGTTTTTTCCCATTTACACACACATACACATTATGAGAGCATTTGGACTATCAATTAAATTTAATTGAAGTTTCAAAAGTATTGAAAAGGGAATACCTTGTGAACTACCTTTTTTCATTGGACTTGATCATTTTTAGACCAAACAAAACCATAAGCTTACAAACAGACAAAATTAATCATGAAATATTTTGCACTGAAAGAGAAAAATAAGAATAATAATTTTAAAAAACAAATTGAAAGCTTTCAGATTTTACATTACATACACAGATAGTTTTTTCTTCCCCCCCCCATTTACATCTACATATAGGTTTTGAGAGCATTTGGGTCTCTTCGGGCTATAAGTATTTAAACACAGCGTATCTTTAGAATTTCTACAGACAATCTCACGTACTGGAGATTAAAATATTTTATTCTGTACAGAGTGTCGCCATTGCTCGCCTTGAAATCATTCAGTTTCTTAATCAAAAATTCATTAATTAAAAAAAAATCCAAAATAGATAATAAAACAAATTTGAAATTCAAAATTTGGGTTTGAAGGTGCTCATATTCAGCTGGAGGATTATGTTAATCAAATTCTGATGGCTCTTGGTATTGTTGTTTTTTCAGAATGCGAGAAACATACATACATTCATGCAGATTCATTATTTAATGTCTTTAAATATAATACACGGCGATAATATTTAGAGGCAACAATTTGAAAAGTGATACAGAGTTTATAGTGATTCGACGTGAAATGTCGTTTCAAGACTAATAGCTCATATGGGTTAATAAAAGCTCATATACATGGAAAAAATATTAAAAATTAATTTTTACATATATTTTCAAACTAAATTTATTACAATGAAACTCTTTGTTTAAATGAAAGCACTTGAATGAAAAAATATCAGAGGTTTTAAACAAAATTTGTGATCTGCCTTTGGAATATAAAATTAAAATTTTTGCACTAAATTTTTTAACAAAAATATTTTACCATTTTTAAAACATTTATAACATTAAATTCATAGTAAACTATAAATTAATATTCACTAATTGCTACCCTATATACTTTAGAGGAGGAATGCCTTTGCAAAGAACTTTCAAAGAGACACTGGTTTGTACTCATATTACACATAGGAGAAACTAAGAAATTATGCAGGCAGCTTATTCGCCAGGATTTAAGCCTAAATCAAATTACCACTGTTTAGCAGTTTTATCCACTCTGCACCAGTGGGCCAAATCTTTGTATAGAGTAGCATCAAAAATTCAAAAACCTGACATATAATTTAATATTATATTTACTTTATAAAATCTATGCACAAATATTTTCAACATGATCCCCTTTACAATGATATATTTTTGTCAGGAGAACAGGTGGGATGTGGAAGCACTATAGAATCATTATTTTTGATGTGAAACTCTGAGGCAGTTATTGACTGATGCACAAATCATGTTGCTATAAAGAGAGTACTATACTAGCAGTAAACTGATATGCTGGATATGGTAGAAAGCATGTGCTTTTGCCAAAGAATTCAGTTCTATCATTTCTAACAGCTGCGATTTAAAAATGAAATATGAGCATTGTTAAGATAAAAAGAATGATTAGAAAAGGAAGTTCTGGGAAAATCTCACTCCTAAACTTTTACTTAAAACTGAAGCAGTGCAATATCAAAAATTTGATGGCCAACAAGAATAAATCTTGTATGTAATGTATATTTCACAAAACTGAAAACTGCCAGTAACTCAAATCATACTGTCTCTTTAAGAAAAGCAATATTATAATCAATTACCTCTGACCTGAGAATTGAAAACAGTGTCATGGGGCAATTTGCTCTATACAGAATTGGCAACAATCGATTGTTGATATCCTTTGGAGATTGAGAAGTTTCTGTCTGCCTTATGTTCAGTATGTGGGTTCACTAAGTTCCCTTAACAGTATAATTATGAATGTTCTTATTACATTACAAAAGGGATTCACACTTATCGGTGCTTTGGGTTTTTACAAATAATGAAAATAATAAAACATGTAACATAGCTACTAGGAATAAAAAAATTCTGCTTTTATATTTTAGAAATATATTTTTTATATTTTAGAAATATATTTCTAATAATACTTCTTTTATAACACTGTTCCATTTCTAAGTAGCTTTTTTTTTTTTTTTTTTTTTTTGCTTTGCCAAAATTAATTATTCAACGTTTTCTATGCTATCATTTGTAACTCTTATAAAAGTAAACTCGGATTTGTTTTCAGAACTGTCCTCCAAAAATTTGACTTCAAATTGCAAAATCAAATTTTACCATTCGTTCTTTATATCTTCTGATGATTTTTTACCTTTATTTACTCATTAACTGTGATTGCAGACTGAGTTTGAAATAAATAAGTAAAATTTAGAGATTTACTACTTGCATTGCATTTAAGTAATAATTAAATTATTAGATATATCAGTGGAATGGCTTTTATGAGCCTTCTACAAAATTTAATTTTAATTGTTTAAATAATACTAATGTTTAAACAGTCTAAATAACAATATTAATTTGTAAACTTAAAATTCAAAAATCTGCACCAATTCTACATTTTTTTTTTTTACATAACCAGTTTTAAATGATACTTATTATTATTTATAAATAAAACAAAGTCGATTACTGGAAAATTATTAGTGAGATACATTTTAGCATTTTGTTTTAAATCAAAGATATTTTTTTGATGAATGTATTGAAATTAAGAGATGTATCTTAGAAGTAACTACTGGTGTTCAAAGAAATCAAAATATGATTTAAATATTTTTTGAACCCAAACTCCAATGGCAGAGCTTACATTCAGCCCAAATTTACTACAGCCTTTAGAGTTCAACTGATAGATTCTAGCTGAATCCATATTAGAGAAGGTCTTATATTTTCATTTTTTATTTAACTGTTTGCCATCAATTTAATGATCTTTTTATTTATCACAATGTTTTTGTTGTGCTTTATTATTACTTGTTCTTTCTTTTTGCTTTTGTTAATTTGCTTTTGCTCATCTTTCCTTTGTAGGCCTTTTATACAATTTCAGCAATTTCAATTTTAGAAATTAAGTTCTATCCAAAGGATATAATTACGCCAGTTTAATTTCAAACCCTGTTTCAGCCTTTGGTATTGTGAGTAAATCAATGCTTATGAACTAAATTTGAAAAATATTAGATGATTCATCTTAAGATAAAGGAAATACCAAAAAGGCAAGTTGCCTAGGCCAGTAAACTGATTTTAACTCGAGCTTCATTGTACATTAGACAAGAGAAAAAAAATGATGATTAATCTCACAAAGTTTGGCGAAGAACTGTCAAATATATATGCACATTGAAGAAATTGGATATTTGTGAATGGTTGTTGTATATGGTAACTAGAAAAACTGTGATTCAGTCATCATAATCTTGCATGTGTTGTCAGGCTAAGCTGGCAGAAAGTATAGAAGGTGCATTCTGGCATGTTTCAGATGGATGGACTTCTGCAAATTATGTAAAGTTCTAAATAATAATCCTCTTTTTAATTTGGGTCTTCAGATAAAAATTTTAAAAAGATAATGGAATGAAAATAAAAACATATTATCATCATGACCTCCTATTTTTGCAAACCTGCCAGATTTTTTTCTTTTTAAAATCAACTTGAAGATAATGACTTCCTTATTGGAGAAGCCCAGTCTAATCAAATAGCAGCTAATTAGCCCTAAGTTTCAAACCAGAAATGAATAATCCAAAAATAATGGACTGTTATGAGTTTTGTCAATTAACACACAATAACTGCATCAGCTCTCCTTCCTGCTTAAGATCAAAAGAAAAGGTACAATGTGCTAAGCCAAGTATTCCATGTTCAGATACTCTGATAGAATACACTGAGTTGTGATAAGAGAATAGCAGCTTGAATGCTATCTTCAAGAGTTTGACAATGATGTTATAGAAATCACTGCATTACCAATTTAATGTTTTCCTCCACGTATGCGATCACAGGCCAATCGGTGGTAGATTACTGGTTCTTTTCAAAACATTTGTCACCACTGGCACACTTTGGATCCTAACAACTTTGCACATTTGGTAGCATTTGCTCAATTTTCCGAACCACTTTATTCGACTTACTTCACTCACTATTACTCACTTTATTTGCCTCTTACCTCAGAAATCGCACTTTTGCTGTCAAAGTTGGAAACACCCTCTCAACTACTAGAAATATTACTGCAGGTGTCCCTCAAGGCTCCGTTCTCTCTCCTTTTCTTTATGATATTTATACTCAAGACATTCCAAAAGAATCTCATATTACTATTGCCTTATTTGCCGTCGATACCGCTATCCTATCTCAAACTTCAACCATCAATACTATACAAATTTTTCTACAAAACTATTTGGAGCTTCTTGAAAACTGGATGACGCTGTGGAGAATTGCCATTAACACTGACAAAACCAAAGCCATTACTTTCAGAAAAGGACAAACAAACTTCCTTCCGCCTAATCCCATCTTCTTTGACGACGAAATTCAGTGGACAGATCAAGTGAAGTATCTCGGAGTCACGAAACTGTCAGGAAATTCAATATCTCAATAGCTACTACATGTCCTTTCCTCAGCAGACATAGCAATCTGACTATCAACAACAAGCTTATTTTATACAAGTCTATCCTTAGACCTACTTTACTTTACGCCAGTCCGGTATGGGGACTCGCCGCTAAAACCCACATAAAAAAGATCAAAGTTATTCAAAATAAAACCCTTTGTAATATTATTAATGCACCCTGGTTCATCCCAAATTCATATATTCACAGAGATCTTCAAATTGATACTATACAAAATTATATCAAAAAACTTGCAACAAATTTTTTCCTTTCTGTACTATCACATCCAAATAGCTTTCTGTACTATTACATACATCAGCTCTTTGCCATGCTCACCTTTTCCTAGAGCAAAACACAAATATCCTTCGGATATTCTAACCTAACATTTTGTTAATTATTTGAAGTACCTACTATCCTTACTGATCGAACTTTTTTCCACATTTGCTTGGTCTATTTTCATTCATTTCATCTTTCTTCGCCGACTGATGGTGGCTAAATGAAATATCTCATTCTACCATCTTGATTCTTCATATTTTCCTTTTGTTGTTCCAGACATTCTTTCATCTGATACAGAGTAAAAACGCACTGTCACTCTCTTTCCATTCGACACAAGTCAAGTTGGTAGCATTTCTATAGTCTATGCAGGCTGACATTCTGTGACACATGGTTCTTAAAAATCCATATATCTTGAATAATAGAATAATGATGCAGGACAAAGACAATGGAAAATGTGCAACCAATCATCACTAACTACAGCATGTCATGCCTATTTACACAGTTCAATAATTCTCTATGCATCAAACCATTATGGAATCTAACTCAAAAACATCATTCGTGTTTTTATAGATGGGAATATCCCTGAACTTCTAGATCCTACTATGTGTACTAAAAGTCTCACGTAATGTAATTATACATATAGAATGAAATATAAATACATATGTAACTAAAGAAAATATTGTGATAATCAAGACTGAAAAAAGTATTTAAAATTCAGTAAAAAGAAAGCATACCTTAATATAATTAGCATTAATATAATCAGATCCTGGAACACCTGGATATTCTGACAAAATGACTCTTGTGTAGTCATCTAAAAAATATACACAAATTAAAAGCAATTATATGAATCTGTATGTCTATTTGCTATAATATTTATAAACACATGCATACACTGGTCATCAAAATTAAAGAACAATGAGAAAAAATAGCGGCAGAAATATGCAAATTTGGTGATTGACAATGTGATGCACAATGGACACATGTTGAAATTCCAGTCTGTAGTGTTGTTTAAAGAGAAAATGGTTTCTGACACTAATCAGTATTTAGTAGTTATGGCTCGAAGGCAACATTTAAGTGAATGTCAAAAGTGGCGAATAACTGCTAGAATCAAGGGAGGTAACCCACAATTGAATATCCCTCAAAGTGTCACTCAAAAGTTTAAAACAGCTTTTTAAGCACTGGATTGATTGATAGACAGCCTGGTCAAGGGCACCCAAGAGCAACAACTGCATCAGAAGACGATTTTCCGTTATTGTCAGCTCGAAGAAGGTGCAAAGTGATTACAAGAAATTTGGTTTTAGATATTACAGGCTGTCACAGGAACTAGAATTAGCCATTCTACTGCTGCATGAAGGCTTAACGAGGTTGGACTATATACAAGAAAACCAATGGTTTGTTTCTCACTCAATCCAGCTTCGAGAGGGCCCCGTTTAAATTGGTGCCATGGTCATGTTCAATGGAGGCAATATGACTGGGCCTGAGTATTGTTTAGTGACGAGTCCAGATATAGTCTAAACAGTGATCTAGTTGTGTTTTGCAGGGTTCGTACACATTTCTGCACAAGGAAACTAAGAACTTTTAAGGACCATTAATGAAAAAATTAAGGACCTATGAGCAAATGGGAACTGGATAAATTCAATTAAAAATACTAGTATCTGGGCCTGAACATTTGTAATACTGTTCTAAAAATAAATATATTCATAAGCAGGATGCATTACTATTAAACGTAACTTAATTAACATAATTATTAAATAAGTTAATAATAGAATAAAATTTTATGAAATGTATCAAGTAGCATTAAATATTTTACACATAAGCGACATTTTATATACGTTTTACTAACAGTTAGCTTATGTTGATTTTTTCTCTTATGTCTCTTTTTGTCATATACTTGCTCAGTCTAGAGGTTTAGTAAATAGCAGGTAGATTTTATGGCAAGAGGCATAGGTTAACTTGAGAAGTAAAACCATAATTAGCATGATTCGTAACAAAAGATTGGCTGTTATCACTGCTACTGCTTGCCTAGAGAGAGACCTGCTGATCAAAATAAACCTGAAAGGCCTGACGTAGACACGGTTGACAAGTTTTGAAAGTTAGATGGGCTCTGCCTGACGCAGTTAGTGTCGTAGCTTCACGTAGAGTTCCAGAGGTTGTAACCCAGTTAATATACTTCAAGGTTCCAATAAGCCATTAAAGCACCAGAGCTGATAAGTTGTTTTGTATTATTTTTAAGTCTCACTAGATGCAAAGAATAAGTTTTACATTAATTTTTACATTTTTGTCTTTTATCTTGTGACCACAGTAAGGATTAATGAAAGGCAATAAATTCGCTTTAATGCACAGAGGAGACAATTTTTAAGGGTAAGCAGTTAGTTATAAATAATTAAATTAGGTAGTTACATACCCTTACTCATTATAGATTTACATGGCCACTATTACATTTATCTTTTAAAAATATTTGTTAAAAAAGCACTATTAAAATCCCAATATATTAACATGTCACATTCTAAAATATATGTAATTTATGACAATGATTCTTAAACGATACTAGGATAATTACACATTAAAAGCTACAAATTATATGTAGCAACAGTACTAAACAAAATATTATGCGTGATTTCCCAGACATTTTGGGGAGTTTATATAAATTTCCTTCCCTTTAAGCATCTTTTCTAAAATTAGAAATCTGTTTCAGTATGCAAACTAATGTTCCCACTAGTTTCAGCTAGCCTTATCTCTTTATCTTTCTATATGGGAATATTTCTGTGTGGGCTTTTTTTCCTGTGAGCATTTATAACTGTGAGCATTATTCCTGTCGGCTTTTTTCCTGTGGCATTTCTCCTAGAACCCTTTTTTTTTTAACCCCCACACGTACAGAAAATCATCACACAAACTGATTAGTGTTAGCAGTAAAAGTATCAATCACTGTGAAAACTTTGCCTTTTGGGAGTTTTCAAGAAGGTATATGTTAGCGTTTCGAAAGTGATCCGACTTGCAGACATTCTGCCTAATTTATATCAATTTACTTCTATTTATGCATCTTTTCTAATAGTTAGAAATTTGTTTCCAATATGCAAACCAATGTTCTCCCTAGTTTCTGCGTGCTTTAATTCCTAACTTATCAACTTAGCAACAATGAATCTATGAGGGTTTACTTGATCTGATAAAAGTTAAATAGTCCAAAACTCCAGACAGACGTTAAGCAAATTATTGCTATGTGTTAAAGTAACTAAAAAGTCAGGCAAAGGTTTAAATAAGCATTTTATTTAAAAATGGACTTAGATCATAAAGGCATGTTCTTATGCTAACGAAATCAATTACAGTTACAAATAAAAAAGAGCTGAATTCAAACTAAAAATGTAGACTTTGTGATCGAATACTATACAATTCAAATTTAATTTAAGCTGTCTCATTAACTCTATCATCATAACAAATTCAGATGTCAGAAGTGATAATACAAAGACGAATAATTATAAATTATCAGAGCTGGCAGGAACTAATGCAACAAGCAAGTGGAGATCAGAAATACACTGTCTTACACTCCGAACAAATGGAAATTTGAAATGAAAAAATAAAAGGAATTTTGCAAGAGGACTTAGACAACATTCTAATTGAAATGGTACAATTAACAAAAGAGAAACTTCACGATAATGAAATAATATATAGACTGTTTAAAATAAAGAGAAATTACAAAAGAAAGAAATTCATTAGAGAAAATTCTCCAATCAAAATTTATGTAATAAGTTATGTTAATAATGTGAATACAATTAGTGTATAAATTTTTTATTTGTAAATCAGCCACAATATATGGCAATGCAAAAATTTTAGAATTATTAATAAATACTAGACAAGGGCGGACGTGGGCAGAACCCATTAACTGTAATGTTAGAGGGATGCTGCCCATGTTCTCCGTTACTACCAGGGCTATGGAGTCGGTAGGGAAAATGAACGACTCAGACTCCTGGAATTTTAAAGACTCTGACTCTCTCATATATATGTAAACATATACACATGGGTTGCAGCTTATTTTTTTTAATATAAAAGAAGTAATAGATGTTACACAAAGAAATTCATGGCATAGCAATTTGTATTAATTACCATTTATTATGAAATGGAAAACCTGGCATTAGTAATTTCTAAAAAACAGTACAGTCAAAAGTCTTTAATCCGGACTCGTCGGAACTTCGGCGATTCCGGATTAGAGATCATCAGTTTAAATCTGGTAAGATGGTATGCAGAAATTATAAAATTAAAAATATGAAACCGTAATTTATGAAATAAAGAGCAATTATGATCTAAAGAGTATCAAAATTTACAAAAAAAAAAAAAAAAAAAAAAAAAAAAAAAGAGCTTAATATTTATTTGTTTACTTTATTAAACATTTCTTTCAACACGCCATGCAAAAGCATACATTACGCATAGCCGAAATTAGAAAATTGCAACCAGAAAACTATTTGATGTGTACTCGTGATATTTATAATGACGACGAATTTGGTTTAAATCATATCAAAGAGGGAATACATCGAGATGAAATACTACATTTAGTGAGGAATTATAAGCTGAATAAAATAAAAACATCTGCCCTGAAGATAAGGATTGTGCTGACAGAACAACTTCCAGTTCATTGTTTGCCGCGACGTCCTCCCCCCCCCACAGAGCAGCGTGAAATTTATAAATAAATTTCAGAATGGGTTGAGAAACAAAGGATATGCTTTTATCCATTTTTTACAGCAATTCCACTTTTGTTTGATGGACATCGAAACATACTTTCGCCTTGGCAGCTCCATACATCGGAAATTCTATTTGACATAATCGAAAGTTCAAGCTTACTTTTATAAAATTGCTCTAACAGTCTGCAAAAAATAATAAGCCGGATCCAATTCGAAAATTAAGGAACAACGCAATATGCAACATTAACTGAAATAGATAATTAGATAATTTTAGCTTAGCTTATACCGTCCGTTATACATTAAATGCGCATCCGTAAACGCATTATGTGCGCATGCGTTAACGCATTATGCACTCACGCATGTGCAGAAAGTTTGTAGCTTTGAGGTCCGGATTATAGATCCGGATTATGGGTGTCCGGATTAACGACTTTTGACTGTATAGCTTCAGCAAGATCTTTGCTAAAGGACCATAGATCCAATTTGATAAACTTCATAGCTGAGAAGAGTCTTTCCACTCTAACTTGAGTAGGAGGAAGACGCATTACTGTTAGGGCTATTTCTTTTAACTTTTCAGGATACATTTTTATAAGTTCTATAAGAGTTGTCTTGCAAGCACAATCATATTTCTCTATTTCTTCAAAGACCATGTAGAAATCTTGTTTGTATTTTTCATTTTTATATCTAAAGGCTCTTGTTTTTCATTTTCATTCGCTTTGCCTTAGCCTTTTCAGTATTAGCCAAAAATATTTCTCAAAATCTAATTCATCAACGGAAAAGGATGATAGAGGCTCAATTGCAATGTCTACAGTTTGACTGTCCTGATCTGAATTCTCCAATTGTTCTGAGAATAATTTAATTCTTAATGAAAGTTCATAGATGACTTTTTTTGCCTTTTTAATTTGCTCATCATCGAAGAAAATTCAGTGTTTTGGATCTCCATATATTGAACCCAACAAGATCTCATTGTCTAGCAAACTAGTTTCTCTTTTCTTCATTGAAGAAACGATTCCTTCTGCAATAAACCCTCCATTTCAGAAAGAACAAACACCCTATTCTCGCCTCCTGTCAATTCTTCAGATTGCAACTTTTTTGTGGCTATATACGATATAGAAAGAAGAGTTTCCAATTCTGCAGGACCATTCCGCAGTCTTTCTGTAAGTGAAACATTAGGATTATCTACATCTCCTAAAAAAGTTCTTAATTCTAAAAAACCTCTTTATCATCAAATATGTACTTCCTTATCGCATTGCTTGATCAATAATTGCTCCTTTTCCAGCTCGCTTCCTAAGAATGGCATCAATTTTAGGAGTTCTTGCTGCTATTGCTGTTTACCTATATTTACCACTGAGGTTTGTAACTAAATGAATCAGTTTAATCACTAATGACAAATATCACATCCATCCTCTTCCCTTATATTTATTTATTAATATGTCAATAAAATAGAAAATAGCTATTTATTAATGTATACTTCTATAAATAAAAATAATAACTCAGCTTGTCATTAATTTTTTCAATTCATTTTAATTTCATTTCAAATTCAAACTGTCCAACGAAAACTAGAGTCAGAGTCGGCCTGTTTTTAGCGACTCCAGCTCCGACTCCTTTTACCCCAAAATCTGCCTGACTCTGACTCACAGCCCTGGTTACTACTACTTCCATAATGCCTGTCCTTGTAATAAGAATAGAGGCATTTTTGATATTTTCCATGCCTGTCATATTAAAAAAAATTTATTTTCTAAAAGAGGTGACTTAATTTTTCTACCATTTTCCAGTTTTCATAAATTTGGTTTTAATTTCAATATTTTGCGAATAATCAACGGCCAAACATTATAATTTATGTTATCTAAATGCCTTTGTACAAATTTCTATTAATAATTTTTTCTTTAAGTACTAGTTATGTTTTATTTCTGTCATTGTCCTTTAATTTGATGACCAGTCTTTATACTAAATATACACATATTGCTTCTAAAACCAAAAATTAGTTTGCAATGAATGAATTTTATTTGAAGGGAGGGCAGATAATGCCTCTACACACTTTATGACAAAAGATCAATCAGTAGACAGAGAATTTGATATTATAAAAAGAGGATAAATTAAAAAATACAGTCAAACCTCGCTTAATGAGCCTAATTTGTTTCCAAATCTTACTTGTAAAGCGAAACAAATTTTTCCACAGGATAGGAATCAATGTAAAATAGGATAATGTGTTCCATACCAAAAAAAAAAAAATTCTCAAATTTATAATGCATTCTTTTTTTTTTTTTTTTTTTTTTTTTTTAACAAGAAAGTTATCTAAAGACATTCGTTTTGGTTATCACTTCAAATTTGGCAAAAATGAGACACAGCATTATTGTTAAATAAATTTGGAGCAAGCATAGCTATTACCTTATTAGAATGATGCTTCTCAAAGCTCTATTTGCCCCTATGAAACAGACCGTTAATTCAAGCGCCGCTGCACAAAAAGAACAATGAATATCCACGCCGCCGTCAACATATTAAAGGAGTTCACAGCTTCTTCTATCCTTTCTTAGGCTGCTTTCATTTATTTTACTTGTCAGAGTTGACGGCCCCTTCTAACTTTTCTTGCAATGCAGCAAAGACAATCACCAGCTGTCTTAGCTGCCCTTCCATCGCTCGTCATCGGCATTTAATCCCATTTCTGACACCAAAAATTGCTGCACGCATAAAGGTTTGTAATAGATTGAATGCACACAGAATTGATGAAAAATCTGATAAAATTTATTTTACCAAAAGAAACACTTCACAGTTCTGGAACTTTCTACAAAAATAGTCATACAACTTCTTCACAGTATCACACAGTACAATCAGTAGTTACACTTCAAACTACTAAGAACATTACGCACAAATCAATGTGAAGTATCTAAAGAGCAAAGCTAACCTGGAGACATCTCAGTTCTCCGAATTCATGTTGAACTTACAGCTGAGAGCTGATACTCATTCTGGTCTGATGTAGTTTTCACCTGGCCACCAAGAAATGTCTAGTACTTCTTGAAATTACTAGAAGGGATATGAAGATTGGATACGGTTACAGCTAACTTATGGCATCAATTACAGTTATTCAATTAAAATACCTATTACAGTGATACATGGACTGGCCCAAAATGTAGACAATTTTAATGATTTCTCGTCAAATCTTGCGGCAAAAATTAGTCGCCAAAACCATCGCCAACTTCGCGATATCTTGCCAATTTAGCGAGATAGCCATTTACTCAATGTTAATTAGATTTGCTTCTGTACTCTTATTTTTCCAGCAGAACATCGCCTCTTTAGATTTTCACATTACATTATACAGAAAACTATGTCAAAATTTTTAACATTATATTTTAAAACAGAGTGCCATGTAACAGTTGCAGCAATAATATCTTGTTTCGTTCCACAGTCACTGCTACTACAATTAAAATAATCTGTTTACAGTGAACATAAAAACTTAAGTATGTTAACTACACAAAATAAAATCTCAAGTTAAGTTATTGTTAAGAGTAAGCAATAAAAGCATAATAAGTTTCATCAAAGCTTATCTAAACGAAACTTCTATGAACTGTAATACACAATACCCAATTGAAATTGCATGTTTCATAACGAATCAAAAAAGAAAAAAAGATAGAAAGCTTGTTCTGCAGATCAAAAATGTCATCTATGAATTTAAAAGTAAACTAAAATAAATTATATGGGATAATCAGAAAGGTTAAGTTTGAAAACATGACACCCACATCACATACAGGCAAACCACGTTTCGCACAAAAAATCGTGAACCATATGCGAAAAACTGCTAAACTGCTAAGAGGTTAAATATCATAACAGGAATTTGATTAAAAAGAAAACTTTCTTACATGGAAGTATGTCTTTATATCTGTTTTTTCTTCTGTTGACTTCCTTAAGACCTTCGGAGCAGGCATAATCATTATCATGCTTTAATTCCTCAGTTAAAGCTTTCAATTTCTATAGCAAAATTAATAAAAAAAAATTACAAGAAATGATATTCTGAGATGTAATGCTGTTATCAAATAACAAGAAATGTTATTAAAAAGTGAGCAGAATACAAAGATGTAAACAATATACAATCAAACAAAGCTAATTTTTTAAGCTAATTTCAAATTTTAACTAACTCTTTGATCTATGTATTAATTTAAAATTCCTCGCTTAATTCATACTTAAGAAAGGGGAGAAGACCTTTTTCCTTTCTACTTCAGTTTTGGGACAGTATAACTATGGAAAATTTTTGAAAAATCATTATAAAAAATAAAAAAATAAAAAAAAAAAAAAAATTTAATCATATTTTGAAAAATACTGAAATTCACCCCCCTTAAGAATTAATGTGAGAGACTTGCCTCAGAAACATTACACTAGAGAAGCAAAACTGCATGCAAATAATTTATAATAAATAAAAAAAAATAACTTGAACATTAATAATGAGAAAATTATCACCTGCTCTTACTTATGTTTTATGTAGCAGAAATCAGTTTTTCTTATATATATATATTTTTTTTTATAGTTAGCTGTGATCGAAACAATCTCCAATAAATTAATCTAGAAGCGTTAACAGTTTATGTCAAAAATTCTTCAAACAAGGTATCTCCTTGAAATCCTAATGCAACTTTCCATTTAAATCATATAAAAATTCCCATCACTGTACTAGAACATTCTGTTACTAGTAACATGAAAGAAATTATACATTGTTAATTGAGAAAGTTTGTAATGCTTCTGTACACTAACTAAAAAGATACAATTCCTGCTTTAAAAATAAAATGTAATTAGAAAAATTTTCTACTATGAAATTTTAACAGAAACTTTTACAGACTTTTCTGTTTAATATGAATGGGTAGAAGCATAGCTAGGGTTTTCAGCGCCTGAGAACAACTGAAGATTTTGCGCCCCTTTCTGTGTGTCACGAATGAAAAACACTTCATTCTAAAATTTCGTACCATCAATTTGGCGCCCCATAGATGCCGCGCCGGGGGACAGATGTCCCCCTTTGCCCCACCCTAGCTACGCCACTGCGAATGGGGAGGCTTATACTGTACATACAATGCATCTATAAGCAATAAAATGCAAGTTTGTCTTCATTTGGAAAATTTAAATACTAGCAGTTCACCTTCACTTAAGCTCTCAGAATAGCTACAGTCACTGTCATCGCTCAAAATTATTACGAACTGTCAGGTAATTTCTTTCCTCATACCTTCTTTGTTAAAGACATCCTTTTGCAACTTTCCTGAATGAGTAACACTTTTCTTTTTTAACTACCCATATCCACAATGCACAGCTTGCTTGAGTAGTTCTCTTGCATCTTCTACTTTTAAATTAAAAGCAGCATTACATCAATTCAAGTACAACATACTGACAATAGTGGGGCAGAAGACTCACTACTTTGTGTTCCCTTTCGATTGTTATCATATCTAGTTCACAGCCTTTATATTTTCCCTCATGCTGTCTGACAATATTCAATAGTTCAATAACAGTACTACAGTAGACTCCCGATTATCCGCGCCTGCCGCACAAAGTTTTTTTTTTTTTTTTTTTTATAAGCATAAAGAAAGAAAATAAAAATGTTCACAAAACTGAGCGAAACCTTCACTTTGCTAACATCGTGCTTATTTATGGCAAAAATATCCCAGGCCTTCTCGGAACCTTCCCCTTGGCCCCTCTGATGAGTAAGTGATTTCTTATTTACCCTTTCAATGCCCGCTCCACCGCCCTTTCTCGTCTTAATCTTACTGACATGTCCACTTCCTCTCCCTCGCCATTGTTAGTTTAAGCCTGATAGTGTCTGCGAACCAGTCCGAGTTCATTTCTTATCTTTTATTGTGTACAGTGCTTAGGCTTTTTGGTTTTGTGTTTTTCGTTACCGATTTAAAATGTCAGGAAAACGAAAGAAGGTTGTGTTGACGATTGCGCAAAAACTAGAATTAATTTCCAAAGTAGCAAACAGCGCTACAAGGCAGCAGATGGAATTGGATTACGGAGTCGCAGAAACAACAGTGCATAACACTCTAAAGCAAAAAGATAAACTGGTGAACTTTGCATCAATGTCGGACAGTGCTCCCGCAATAAAAACGCAAAAAACTATGAAGCCTTTGATGAGCTAGACACGGCACTGATAGAGTGGTCAGCTCATGTTGGAAAAGAGAGTACTTCCTGTAAATAGTCCTATCATTATGGCGAAGGCAAAAACCTTTTTTTAGTTGTTAGGCCTGAAAGAAATTTTGATGCGTCTTCTGGCTGGCTGATTTGTTTTAAGCAGCGACATGGAATTCGAGAAATTGGACTTCATGGGGAGAAACTTAGTTGTGACCAAAAAGCAGCTGACGATTTCCACCATGAATTTGAAGAATTTGTTTTATAAGAGCTATCTTTTGAACAAATTTACAATGCCGACGAATCGGGACTTTTGTGGAAATGTCTTCCCACTCGCACTTTAGCATTTGAAAATGAAAGTAAAGCGGCGGGTCATAAAAGCAGCAAGGAAAGGATCACTATCATGTCTTGCAGTAATGCTACCAGTGGACATAAACTTAGACTTGTTGTCATTGGAAAGTAAAAAAAAAAAAAAAAAAAAGAGATTTTTCAAAGGCACAAGGATAGAAAATTTGCCTGTTGATTACTTTAACAACAACAACAAAAAAAAAAAAAAAAAAAAAGATGGATGAACCGAAAAATTTTTCAAGAATGGTTCGAAAACATCTTTGTTCTTCAAATGCGTAAACATCTTAAATCGAAAAACCTGCCTGAAAAAGCTGTGTTATTGATCAACAACGCACCTTTAGCATGCTTGAACATGTTTGTTGCTGGCTTGTTGAAGACTTTAGCACGCTTGCTGCTGGGTTACAAATTTTTGCAAAGTTTCTCCCCCCCAAATGTTACTGCGCTAATCCAACCCATGGAACAAGGAGTCATTGCAACAATGAAGAGAACATATGGAACCAAGCTGCTAATGACCAAAATCAAAGAAGGTTATGATCTGAAAGAGTTGTGGAAACACTACACAATCTTGGACAGCATCTACGATATTGCATCTGCATGGGACTCAGTGAAACCGTCAACCCTTATAAAATCATGGAGAAAACTCATGCCCAATGTTGAAGCCAACAACAACCTAACCCCTTTTGAGTTGTGAAGAGAAGAGAATGAAGATGTAGACACGTCCACGCCAACTGTTGCCGATATGGTGAAAACAGTTCCGGGTGGTGAGAACGTCGATGCTGAAAACATTAACGAGTGGTTGGAGTGTGACGTCAACGAACCTGGCTTTGAACGCTTGGAAAGACCGATAATGAAGGACAGCGAAGTGAAGGCGAAGGAGAGCCCACTGTGCAGATGTGGAAGACTCACGAAGCGGCTTTGCAACAAGTTGACGGATTGCTGAGCTATTTGGAAGAACAAGACGACGCAGAGTTGGCCAAGAAACTTATGCTATGAAAAATGCAATCTCAGATCAAGAGAAAATGCTTCCAAAGCAAGAAGCAAACACAAATGACTGATTTCTTCAAAAAGGTGTAGTTTTACAGTTATGCTTTTGTAATTACATAATACATTACAGTATTAAAACAGTACATATGTATTAATTTTTCTGTGTATCCTTGACGCCTCTCATAAGTATACAATACACTTTTCTGTTTTCCTTAAAAAAATGCATTTTAGGTTAGTTTTGAGTGATATACTAAAATATTAAGCGTTACTTAAAATTTTTCTGCTGTTTATTTTATGTTTTATTGTATATAAAAAGATTTTTCAAAGTTGGAATGACTGTTTGGTTAATCTTTGGATTATGGTAACATGGCGATTTTTTGGCGACCAACTCTGCTATAGCAGTCCTCTATTTTTTTTTTCGCCGCCATTTTGTCTTCACAAAGTAAAGACATATTTCTTTTCTTTTTATTTACTGAACACTTTTTCCAACAATCTGCTATTCGAATTACAGTTATGCTAGAAATTTTATGGAACAAAACTGCTTAATCATGACAAATATTAACTGCAAAATTGGGAAAAAGTGCAGAATCGCAAACTCCCTGCCGCGTTTTTCAAAATCGTACATACACATAAACCATGTACACGTCGACTTATTATTACTTAAAAAAACATCCCAGAATTGCACAAAAATGGCATTGCACACACTCTTAACTTAATCCATCTACATTGCTATTTTCTCATAAATTACAAAAATTTGCACGAAAATGCAGGAAAATTTTGTGAATCTTTAAACTCGGTAAAAAGCACATATATGAAATTACCTGATCGCGAAAAAGTATATACCCTTTCCAAGGATGAACATTTCCACGTATAAAATAAATAAAATATCCAAAAACTTTTACCTCTAAATTATCTATTATATTATAAACGTCACAAACGAATTCATACCGCCAACATTAAAAATGGTTACAAATACTTAGTGTCAAATATTTAAATTATTTCCATGCACGTTTACTTTAACTGAAACGTATACCAAATTGCTACAAACATAAAATTCACAAAATAACTATCATTTAATTAAAATATAACTAAACCATGTACACGTCGACTTATTTTTACTTAAAAAACATCCCAGAATTGCACAAAAATGGCATTGCGCACACTCTTCACTATATCCATGTACACTGCTTTTTTCTCATAAATTAGAAAAATTTCACAAAAATGCATGAAAATTTTGTGAATCTTTAAATCCGGTAAAAAGGACATATATGAAATTACCTGATCACGAAAAAGTATATACCCTTTCCAAGGATGAACATTTGCACGTATAAAATAAATAAAATATCCAAAACTTTTACCTCTAAATTATCTATTATAAACGTCACCAACAAATTCATAACGCAAACATTAAAAACAGTTACTGAAACGTATACCAAATTCCTACAAACATATAATTCACAAAATAACTATCATTTAATTAAAATATAATTAAATTAAAAAACACTACTTAAAATATAAATAAGCACATACATTAA